GTCTGCTACTTCTATCTCTTGTTTGCACTCGACTGTTTGATTTTTCATTTTTTGGTTCGATATGCCTATCTTACCTCCATTTTAAATTGGGTCTTCCATTCAGTTCTTGAGATGGTGCCATGTTCTGAGGAATGGTAATTCTTGTCACCTATTTATATTTCAGAAAAACTTTGTATGCATACAGTATGGTGCTTATTTAGAATAGCCATCACCTTCATAGTTGAACAATTGTATCTCTGTATTGATTATAAATTGTGTTTGCTTGCTAGTCACCATTGACTATATATTTTGTGTTTCATGGGAAAATACAAAATCAAGTTTGTGGCCAACTTATATTTTCTTGTCTGTGATTTCTAGAAATGAACTATAGCCTTCTAGTGTCATTTTGTTTACTTCTCTCCAGAGATTAGTCTTTTTGCCCCTACCATTATTTGTTTGTGTACCATATAATGGACAACACAAGCCTGTAAACAGCTAAGTTCCTTAGATTTAATATCGGCCTTTTCCTTTTGTGTTCTCTGTGACTTCTAGAAATAAACTACTGCTACTTCTAGTGTAATTTTGTTTAATTTTCTGTAGAAATTAGTCTTTTTGTACCTACCATTCTTTGTTTATGTACCATATCAGACAACAGGCCTGTAAATAGCTACAATCCTAAGATTTAATATTAGTCTTTTCTTTTGTGTACTCATATCTACCTATAATAATACAAGTCCATGTGGGGTTTTTGGAAATACTGGATGTATACTGTTCCACAAGACCAATTCGTGTAGGATCGGTGACTCCTAGAAGATCTCAAGGTATTTTCAGAATTTGATATTATTATTTTGTATTTAGCCCTTGCCTCCCGTTATTACACATCTATAATGTTTTTCCACATTCCATGATCTTGACTTTATATTAGTCAGTGCTATTTGTTCAGAATTTTATTGCTACCATATGAATTTTCCCTGTAATAAATATGCTATGAGTTCCACACATATAACTGGGAGTTGTAACAATCATTTTTTCTACATATGGAAAAAATATCAGAAGCATCCAGCCACTAAAGAGGTAACACCAGCATTCATATTTGGACTAGAGCCATTAGAAAGATGCAGAAGTTCCCCCCAACAGAGTGACGCAATGTTCAATGTTAGTAGTCCAAAGATTAACCTAACATAATCTACAACCGTATGGACCTGCTATCTGATGGTGGCCTCTGACTCTCTCTCTCTCTCTCTCTCTCTCTCTCTCTCTCTCTAAGTCTGAGTCCATGACACACAACACATGGAAACCCCAAACCAGCGCCCCTGCTCGTTTGTGCTTGTTTGGCTGATAAGCCATGGCTAAAAGTACTGTTGGCTGATTTGGTGTGAGAGAAAAATATTGTTCGTTGGCTGAAAAAGTACGGTTTATAAGCCAAACAAACCCAAACGAATAGGGCGCAGAACAACCAGCACCTCCGAACTATAGAAGCACAGGCTGGGGTGGGTAAGGGCGACGGGAAGGGGATCTACGGCTCGGACGGCGGAGACTGAAGATGCACACGATAGTAGATCTGATCCGACATTCTGGAGGATAAGTTGCCCACCTCACACTCACACAAAGATCCCCTCCGCCATCAGGAGGTTAGCGTCGCCATTGTCCTCATCACAGGAGATCCCCTCGAAGCCTACATCGTCAGAGGTCGGCATCGAGGTGGCGAGCAGGGACGCCGAGAAGTCCGGCGAGCTCTTCCCGATCTGCGCACGCCAACCTCGCTCGGCTCCCCATGGTTGACCGACAGCGGCGCCAGGAGATGCGAGGCGAGCAGCGAGTGGCGGCGGGGCTTGAGGCGGACAGGGGGTGTCCTTTGCAAAACTGCCTGCGGCCTTTTTTTCATAAAAATGACAAGAACGTTGAAATATCTTGTACAACAGGGGGTTACGTGGAAAATAACTTAACATAAACACTGTGGATCACAACCAAACTGGATCACGAGTTGATTTCCGCCTACGTGAAGGGCTTTTCTGTAAAACAACTGAGGCCACAGGGAGAAGCCACGGATGCCCAAATTCTCTCCTGCGAGCAGACTCAAGTGGGTTTTAATCAACCCTGATTAAAATAATGTTTTGTCGCATGGATACATAATGGGACCCACGTAAGCATTAACCGATTTGCTGTGACTAATATTAATAGTTAGCTGCAAATACTTAGTTCTTTAGATCCAAATAGATCTAGCTAATAGTTTTAGCTAATTGTTAGCTACATGCCCTAACTAGTGGCTGTTTCACTAGTTGAACAAACTAGCTAATAACAATTAATGTTAGTTGTAACCTATTAGCTTGCTAACTATTAGCAGCTAATGGATTCAAACATGCATTAATTGAGGGTTTTCAAATGATGTATACCTAAGAACACAACAGCAGCTCATTAATAGAGGACAACCAAGATCATTTCACATCTTCCTTAATATATGTGGAAATTCCTATGATCCCAAGTATTTTAGGACTAAGGTGGTACACCTAATTTTCAGAGGATTTTAGATAAAACAATTGTAGCTCTTTTCTATAAATTTGGTTAAGTTTAAAATCATTTGGCTTAAAATAATTTTAGAAGTTGATTTTATTTTAGGATGGAGGAAATATGTGAAAACTCTACTATGCCAAGTATTTTATGATAAAGATATATACTACCTAATTTCTGAAGGATTTTAGATAAAATAATTCCAGCTTTTGCCCCTCTTGTTGGGAATCAAAGCAGCCCCCCCCCCCCCCCACCCCACCAATCTTGACCAAATGATATACTTGTACAACCCGGAGGCACAATTAGTGGCGGAATTTGATTTGTTAAATACTCCAAAGCAGCAGTACCCCGTGCTAGGTAAAGATAATCCTTTGAAAGACCTAGAACCTTCGTAGGTAAGAATAATCGAATCGAAGGATATTGAATTAAGAGCGTGTTTGATCCATTAATACTAAAAATTAGCTATTTAACTGCTAATTTTTAGCTAGAGCTGTTTAAATACACCTACTAATAGATGTTATATAGTGAGTTGAATGTGTATATGAACTATTAGCACGTATTAATAATTTCTAGCTTGCTAATGTAACTAATAGTTAGCAACTCTCCAGTTAATAATTAACAGATCTATTTGGATCTGGTACTAAATTTAGGCCTTGTTTAATTCCTCCCCTAAAGTTTACTCCACGTCCCATCGAATATTTGGACACATACATGGAGTATTAAATATAGACTAAAAAATAACTAATTACACAGTTTATGACTAATTTGCGAGACGAATCTTTTAAACCTAATTAGTCCATGATTTGACAATGTGGTGCTACAGTAACACATGTGCGGCTTAATAAATTTGTCTCACGGATTACTAACAGAGTCTGTAATTTATTTTTTTATTAGTATTCGAATATTCCATGCGACACCTTAAAATTTTATGGCCTGAATTTAAACCAGCCCTTACCTGTTAATTTTTAGTAATCCAAGCAAGCAGTAACGGTATTGGGTGCCCTGTGATTGGGAATCACTGCGCTTAGAAAGGCGCTCGCTAGCTAAGCTAGCGATGGGACCAGCCACAAGCCCACAAGCCGATTGCCGACCCAGCGCTGCTAGTGTGGACGCCGAGTTGACTTGAATGTGGCGCGGCAGCCACAGGGTGTGGGGCCCGCCCGTAGTGTCGTCGCGTCGCCCCTGACGGGTGGGCCTCTGCCGGAGCGAGACTAGGGTGAAGGCAAACGGTGGGGCCGCGCGGAACAGAGAACAGCGCGGCGGTGCAGGAAGCCCACGTTTCGAGCCTGCGACAGCGACGTTTGCGACTCGTGTGGTCCCTGGCATGGCATCGATTGATCAATGGCTGGTGGCTGGCGAAACCGGACGCGGGCAGTCATGGAGGCGATCACCATTCTGGCTGCATGCTGCTGCGCCCCTGCCGGTGCCGGCTCGCTCGTGTGCTGTGTGTGCTGTTGCAGGCCTTGCAAGTTTTGCTTGCTGCCGATTACTGTACGTAGGAGTACTCATTAACGCAGCTTTGCATCCCGCGAGGCCTTCTTTAGTTTTTTTCTATAAAGTTTAGTCATATCACATCAAATGTTAGATTTATGTATGGAATATTAAATATAAATTATAAAAATAACTAATTACATAGATCGTGACTAATTCACGAGACGATTTTTTAAGCCTAATTAGTTCATGATTTAATAATGTGGTGCTAAAAACACAGCAGTCAGGACTCAGATCCGAACTTTGGTAGTACTCCTATACGTGGTCATAGATTGATACAGTATACTCCTAGTAGATCGGTTATGCTTCTCGAAACGATGATGTTGTGAAGGATCCGAACAGGATATATACAGTTGTCAACGTTAGCGCTCTGTTCGTTTGAACTGCTTATCAGCCGTAATATTTTTCTCTTCCGGTAAATTGGTATTTTATCAACCACACAAACCATGCGATCATGTTTGTCTCTTAAAACTGGTATACCACCAAACTCGTTGCGTCTCGGAACATGAGCCCAAAAGCTGCATGCCAATGCCATTCGTCCGCTTGGTCCCTTGCCCATTGCTCTCCGACTCTCTGTTCTGAAGAAGATGACTAACAAAACCCTACACCCTCTCTGATTTTTCATGGGAAAACCGTTTAATTTCAATCAGACGAAACGACACACCACCTTAAATTATACGAAATTTATTTTAGAAAAAAAGTACTAGGGCGAGATTTGGGGAGTTTTTATTTATTTTCAATTTTATATATTATAAAAATAAAGAAAGGCGGAGGTGGGGATGCTTGGTGTTGCGGGCGCACCTACCGGATACCCACCACCCCTTTGTGCCGCCGCGCTTCTCTCGGAGCCCTGCCTCCTGCCCTGCCGCCTCCCCACCTTCACGAGCTCACTTCTGCTGCTCCATTCCACGCTCCCCCGCGCTGGACTGGAGCAGAGCTGAGCGCACGCTCTCGCACTCCCGCATTCCCACCGACCATATCGCTCTTGCTTCGCTAAGCATCCTAGATCTCCATTCCCGCCCATGGGGTGCTTCCAGTCCAAGGTGGCGGGGCCCCTGCCGCCCAAGGACGCCGCCGCGCTCCCCGCCGACAAGCCTGCAGATCCCGGTAAGCCTCACGCCCCCGCCCCCGCCGCCGCTTAAACCCTAACCCCGCCGAATCCATCTAATCCGCGGCGCGCGCTTGCTTGCGTCTCGTTTGCTGTGTCCAATCGAATGGCAGAGGCGGCGAACGACGGCGCCGATGGGGGAGGCGACGGCGACGACAAGGAGGCGGTGAAGCGCGCGGTGCCGGTGTTCAGGGAGTTCGCGCTCGCCGAGCTGCGCGCCGCCACCAAGGGATTCAGCGCCGACCTCATCGTCTCCGAGAGCGGCGAGAAGGCGCCCAACGCCGTCTACCGCGGCCGCCTCGACGGCGGCCGGCTCATCGCCGTCAAGCGCTTCTCGCGCCTCTCCTGGCCTGACCCGCAGCAGTTCCTCGTATGGATTTGCTTTGCTTGCTACGTGTGATTTCGTCCCGGCCCCGGATCTCGCAATGTGATGCAGTGTTGCTGGTGTTGCAGGCGGAGGCGGCGGGCGTGGGGAAGGTGCGGCACAAGCGCCTCGTCAATCTCATTGGCTGCTGCGCCGAGGGTGACGAGAGGCTGCTCGTCGCCGAGTACATGCCCAACGACACCCTGTCCAAGCATCTCTTCCACTGTACGTGCTCTCCGGGTCTCCCCCAATCCCTATCCACCTGCTAGGGGTACTCCAGCCTTTTTTCTGTTATATACGGGCCTTGCGTGCTGGAGTTGTGTCGTCTATGGTGACGTACTTGATGATGATCCTCGTGGGCGGATCACACCAACCGTGATCTCAATCTACTCTGCATTAACACAATGACTTAATGCACCTTATGTCCTTCACCATTGCTGCATTTGACCTATGCAGATCATGCAAAAGTGTGGTTTGCCCGGACTAGGTGGGTGTGTCCTGTCCGCCTTGTCTCCCTTGACTGACTTTGCCGTGCACTGCCTTTTCGTTCAGGGGATAAGCAACCGTTACCATGGGAAATGAGGCTGAGGGTTGCATATTTCATTGCGCAAGCTCTCGACCATTGCAATGCCGAGAACAGGAAAATCTATCATGATTTGAATGCTTATAGAGTACTTTTTGATGAGGTACACAACAAGTTTGCTGACAGCTTCTAGTTTTTACTACATATTTTTTTCTGCTGGCTCTTTTATTGTTACTACATTTTCTTCATCTGTGAAAACCATTTTTTTGATCTGTAAGGTTTACTTTGGAAAATTTTACTGTCATCTGTAGTTGCCTATGCGTTTTTTCACTTGTTGTAATTGATTATTGTAGCTGTCTAAAGAATACCTCACCTGTTGTAATTGATTTCTATTCCCTATCAGGAAGGTGATCCCCGATTGTCAAGTTTTGGATTAATGAAGAACAGCCGTGATGGAAAAAGTTATAGTACTAACCTGGCTTACACTCCACCAGAGTTTCTGCGAACCGGTAAGATCCCCTTGGTGCTTACTGGTTACTAATTTACTATTACATTCTTGATTTGCCAATGCCCTTGTTGGCACCCTGGTGTAGATCATTTGAGCTAATTATAAGCCCAATCAGTAAAAGTTAGATGAAGTTAAAAGCTGTTGTGAGCTAGTATGCCTCTTGAGAGTACAATTGTAAAACTTCCTGTTTCCTGATTGTTGTTGAATACATACTTTTGGGTCACAGTAAATTCTTTGCAGGTTTATCATCTATTGTTTCGTTCAAGTTTACAAATACACTATTCACAGTAGTACTGTTTACAATATGCTATTTTGGACTGCACTGAATAATTTGTGCTTGAATGACAGGCAGAGTAATTCCCGAGAGTGTGATATATAGCTATGGAACTGTCCTGTTGGATCTTTTGAGCGGAAAACACATTCCTCCTAGTCATGTATGCTTCATTTGCTTTTTCTCAAGAAGAATATATTTCTGGATTATCTCTTAGCAGTTCCCTTGCATCACATTTCCTTTTGGTACAATGTTTATGATGGTGGACTGCTGTGTGCCTTGAACCATGAACTTGAACTGACAGCTGTTGCTAGGTGCTTCATTTTTCTGTAACATAATGACCACAGCATCATTAAACAGCTCTAGGTGTTTATTGCTATATGTCAGTATTTATTATGACAATGAGTTACCATCTCTTTTTTTTTTGTGGAATTCTAGGCCCTAGATTTAATAAGGGGAAAGAATATACTGTTGCTGATGGATTCCTCCTTAGAAGGGCAGTATGCTAATGAAGATGCTTCGAAATTGGTTGATCTTGCATCAAAGTGTCTGCAATTTGAATCTAGGGATAGACCAAACATAAAGTATCTTTTGTCTTCTGTTGGTCCTCTTCAGAAGCAAAAGGAGGTGAGTAGCTAGAGCACCTTTTTCCTGCCGTTCATCCCCCTTCATTGCTTCTAGTAACATCGTCTATTCCTGTGATGAATTCTAATGCAGGTTGCATCACATGTGTTCATGGGTATTACAAAAGCCACATCAGTAATGCCAACCATTTATTCTCCACTTGGGAAGGCCTGTGCTGGTATGGATCTTTCGGCGGTGCATGATATTTTGCTCAAAACAGGTTATAAAGATGACGAGGGTGCAGAAAACGAGGTAACTAACAATCAAATTTATGCTGCATCTTACTTGTGCCATCAATTTGTGATGAACTTTCCTCACTTTTCTCTTCCACTTTGCTTTATTTTTCTGCTTGACTCAATTGATTACTTGTTCATAAAGGTTTATTTGTTGAATTGTTCTTATGGTAACTCCCTGTTCTTTCCACTCAGAGCCTTGCATCATTGCATGGTTAGAAGAAAGAAGAAACGCTGTGGCTCATCATTTGCATTTAGAATGTGAAATGTGTATATGTGACGTTTTCTCTTGGCTATGCAGAGAAGTGGACTTATATAAATTGCATCATGGTTTGTTTTAAGTCTGAAAGGCAAATAATTTTGCATGGATAACCACATATTTTATCAATATTTAATTCAGGAGATTGTAATGCTGACTAGACTTTGGACTTGTCTTCACATTTCATTGTGTGTGCAAAATCTGATGTATACTTTCAAATATTTTATTTGTGTCTGCACTTGCTCAAGTGTTTTGAAATTATGAAGTCCTACTTTTTTGCTTTTTAAGATAAGTCTATTTCGTCTGGTGCATGTTTAAAAACTGAAGTTATCCTTTCAAGAATGGACCCAGCAAGTGCAAGAGATGCTGAACACAAAGAAGTTTGGTGACATTGCGTTTAGAGATAAGGATTTTAAGACTGCAATTGACTACTACTCCAAGGTATCAACATCCCTGTTCTTCTCCATTTGTGCGTAATTATGGTAGGAGACTCACAGAAAGAGTCATCTGATGTAACTGTCAAACTAGTCACAAGTCAATGTTCCTAAGTGGTTGGGCCCTTGTCCTGTTAGCTCAAGTATTTAGCTACACATACAGCACAATTTTACTTCCTTACCCTTGATCAAAACCCCCGAAACATTGTATTTATAGCTTATATGACAGCCTGTTTGTTCTAATACATTGTATTTATAGCTTATATGACAGCCTGTTTGTTCTAATGCAGCTAGTTGCAATGATGTCGACGCCTTCAGCTACAGTTTTTGCTAGGCGCAGTTTTTCCTACTTGATGAATGGGCAAGCAGAGCTTGCTCTTCGGGACGCAATGCAGGCCCAGGTCTGCATGCCCGAGTGGCCTACAGCCTTCTACCTCCAAGCCCTTGCTCTTTCAAAGCTCGGCATGGAAACCGATGCGCAGGACATGCTGAACGATGGAGCTACATTTGAGGCCAAGAAGCAAAACGGCTGGCGTAGTTAGGAAACAAAGTCTCCCAACTACTCCGTGTCGATGCCCTTTGAAAAAAAAGTACAATGGCAAGTGTCCTCCAAATCAGATCACCGGGACGTCTGTTGCACTACTAGGAGTGGGATTGAAATGCACTGTTTTATCGTGCAATCTCCGCCCGATTGTTGATAACGAGTGGCGGTGTTATGATCAGGAGTGGAAGAATAGGTCGGGGCCTTTGAATGCATAGCATACTCTTCCGTGATCTGCGCTTTGTTTTGCGAGTGATGGTAGCAGGATCTGCTGATTATTGCAACTGCAGTTGTAATTAAAGGGATGCTTTCAAACGATTTCTCCTTTTGGTTTACGTGGAATCTTTAGGCCCCAGAGGACATGAGTGGTGTGCAAAAAGCCGGGCTCATTGTGATTAGCTACGGAGAATAAACTAGAGCCATCGGAATTCCATTCGATTCTACCATATTTGTATGCGTTGTTATCCCCCCCCCTTTTTATGAACAATTCTGGCCCCGTTCGTGTGTCCTTAAACTTGGTTTATCCGTTTTTTTATTCGGAACAGTGTTTTTCTCTTATAAATTTCTTCAGCATTCCTTCAAACCATTTAAATTCCTCCAGAATTTCTCCAAGCGAACAGGCTCCTTTAGAATTTCTCCAAGCGAATGCGAACAGGCCCCTGTTTGTTTCTTGATGGATCGAATCGATTCAGATAGCCAGCTGCGCATCCACCGATTTTTGGTTTCAAAGAAGCAGATGCGTGCTTTGTATATGATCTGGTCAGGCTAAGTTTGCTGCGATTGCCGTAAAGAAACTGCACAACTATCTGTTGGGAGCATACGTGGCGCGTAATTTTATTTTGAAGTAAAGTACACGAGCAACTTATCACTGGGTGTTGTTTGTGTTCTGAACTTTTAAAATTAATTTATTAATCCTTAAACTTGTCCCCGCACTTTTAAAATCCATTTTTTAATCTTTAAACTTATTCTAGAGTGTCATCCAAGTTCCTAAAACTCTCAAAATGTCATCTCAAGTCCACACACTTATCCTTATAAGTCGTTTAGATCCTTAAACTTGACATAGGGTGTTATTTGAAATTTCGAATCCAAGGGGTCTCCATGCCCGGACATCACATGCCATGGTAGATCTCCTATGGCTTTTCTCTTGACTAGTGAGTCCCAAACAAGGATCAGGAACATGTCGGCCTTTTAACACTCCATCTCCATGCTACCAAGACCACACTAGTCCACCACCTCTCCATATCCGCCCGTTCTGAGTACGTGGACGATATGGATATCCCCGTGGAGTTGTCATGGGAGGCCGCCGAAGCAGAGCACACGTAACTGTTCCATTGAGTCATTGTGAGAGGACGACGGGGCAGAGCATGCGCGGTGACAAGACCCCGTTCATAGCGACAGAGCATGACATTAGTGGAAGTTTCTTAGCTGCGAGATCTGCTTGGCGGTGGTCGGATACCTGCATCATTCTTGATTTGAGTTGAAACTCATGGGCAAAGCAATTGTCTGTCTTCCTCTCTACCACTTAGGGGACACAAGTTTTCGGCATACCACCTCCACCGCTGGGATGTCACGAGTGTCAAGGTGGAGGAGGATGGCAAAAATGGCACTTGGTAGGGATGTGACGATGGCTTCATCCTGGAATCGGGATCATTGCCTTGTTTTGACCAACGGGTCCTTGAACCTTTACAAGATCTTGTTGGTGGCGTGAAGGAGAGAGGAGCTCCGAGACGAAGAGACAGAGATTGACATGTGGAACCCCTCGTGTGGGACTCACCGGTCAAGACCTAACCTACATGGGATCCATTGTGACTTGCCACACATCGAGGTGTGGAGTAGATTAGGGCTTGTTTGGACCTAGGAGGACACCTCATGCAATGCTCAGGTATCTAAAAATGATATTTTGAAAGTCTAGGACCTACACGACACACTAGGACAAGTTCACGACTTGGAAAATTCATTTTGAGAGTTTAGGGACATAAAGGATACCTCAGTACAAGTTTAAGGACCTCGGAAAACATAAGTCGTGTCGAATTGGTAAGTTTCTTTTGCAATTTTCTCAGACTAGCAAACGTACCCATGTGTTGTAACATGACAATCCAGCTTGTTTCATGATCCTATGGATGCAAGGCCCATAATGCTGCGTCCCTTGCGCGCGTGGCAGCTTCAGGATCTTTGTAACGGTCGAGTGACACAAAACACCCCATGTGGCAAACCAACACACATGACATTCAACATCATGACTAACTATCCAGATTATAATACTTACAGAAAAATACATAATTAGCAGAATTTGTACAATTTCAATTTCTCTCCCTTCTAGGCTCAACTCTTCGATGTTTCGCTTGAACTTTTATCGGAGTTAACTCGTAGGTCATCTTGGATTCGTCCGATCCAAGATCTACTATGCAGCGGTGAATAGAGCACTACCTCGCATCCACCGGGACAACAACACCTGCAAAATAACTTAACGGCAACGCCGTGAGTACGTTTCATACTCACGGGACTTAATTCCAACATATAGACTTTTGGTGGATGCAAAGGGCATTTAATAGGTATTTGCACACTTGTAGAAAAGCGATGACATTCATTAAGAGTATGACATGCTCATGATCCACTTTAAGGTATTATCATTAAAAAGATATGTTATTCAAAAGAGCGATTAACAAATATACGCCATATTATCATCACATTCTATCAATTACACTACCATGCGTATAGAAAGTAGGAACAACCAAATGGTTCCGTCCCGAGGGACTTCAGGCTTTCAAACTCTGCAGAGGTGTATAACTGTACCCACATGGAAGAACAGGACTAACCTCCATACCTTGTGCACAAGATAAGGGTTGCCTCACGTCTTCCAACATTTCCCTAATCCGGCCCGAATGGCCGACGAAAGGTTCGACTGGTACTCGGTCAATGTCCCGGACATTCCCGACCGACGCCACCCCCTTGCCAGTTTCATGGATAAACCGGTCGCAATTAGTTACTTGGCTTGTCGACCTCATCCGTGACATGTGGTCTATACGAGTGATTACTCGGACTCACGTATCCCAATAAGTAGTCCTTAGCTGCTCCACGAGCTATGTCGTTTGAGATCCCACACTCACAATGACCTACCCCTCGCATGAGCAAAGTTACCAAAGTGGTATCCAAGTTTATGACCTTTGGTGTTATTGTGCCTTAGCCAGATTAGTGAAGCAAGTCAAGTTGTACCCTCATTGCTTTTGGTGACCATTGCATTGTTCTTGAGTAGCTTCTTGGGACTGAGTTGGTGTTGATGATGTCAATAGGATGAACTCTAATTCAATCAAGTTTCCTTCCATTGCTCTGCGTGTGAGCTTGACCATGGTTATCCGGGGTTCACATAGGGTGCTTGATGTCTTATCTCGCATATTTCATTAGAAATGTTCGGAGTGACTCGGTAGGTGATTTTCCTTTGATAGTCAAAATGACTGCTCAGTGTGTAATGGGTTTCGGGTCGTTACAATCCTCCCCTCCCTATAAAAAGCTCGTCCTCGAGCTTTCCCGAGGTACTATTGGGTACTGCACTTGGGAAAGTTTGGGGTTTCCAAGTATGCACTGTAAAATGTACACCTCTCTGTGTTCCACCGACTTTTTCCTCTCTAGGGTCACATGGGGAATGGAGGGTTACTTTATTCAACCTTCTAGTGATGGTGGCTTCCTATTCTCGGAGGCTTCTTTATCTCATCTTGGCATAATTCCAAGTTTAGAACTTTGGTTGCTATCTCGAATTTCAGGAAACAAAGTTTTTGGGCACTTTCTATCTTCTAGCGGATAGTCCGGTCCACTTGTCGGGCTATCCAGAGGCTCCGGATTTTGATAGTTAACTTTGGTCATTTAGTTATCCAATCTGGCGGATGGTCTACCATATCCGTCGGATTCTCCGTTGAATCATGATCTATAAATAGACCGACAACGACTGATGGGATTAAGTCCTTTCCAGTTTTAGTAATTGCCATTGCTATCGACTCCCACGCTGCCACCGTCGCCATGCACGTGCTCCGGGTGACTCCTGCTCGTGGTTCAGGGCTTCCACGTGCGCTTTCATCATGAGTGATAGGTAACCTCCTTGATTCTCTTCCTTTTTTCTTTACTCCTTGATCCATTTCCGATTAGGGCCTCTTTACTTTGTTGCTTGACTAGGGTTAGGGTCAAATCATCTTGGGGACTTGGCAAAACATGTATAGGAGCATATTGGCCTTAATTTGAACATAGTTGCACTGCTCGACTAGTTGGGTGCTCAGGGATTTGAGATTCCTGTCGTCGTCGTAGAGGTTGTGCTGTCTGCGATAGTGGCGGATGGTCCGTGGGTGTTGCGGATGCTCCGCTACTAGGTTCATTCTCCTTTACTTTGTACTCGCCTGATGAGTTGGTGGAATGCTCCGATGAGACGTCAGAGGGTTCTGTCGTCTTCTGTGGTTCTCTATCTGGGTCAATACTGTTAACGTATAACCTGTCGGGCGGTCCACGGGTCTTGGCGAAATATTCAGGTGTGGGTAGACTATTCTCAGGTGCAACCACTTCTGCCTAGAGAGGTGCCGATGGTTGGTCCGTGCGCTATGACAGACACTCCATCTATGTCTGTCCAGTGCTAAATTTAGTTCTAATTTCACTCCAATGGTTATCCAAGCCTTTAGATATTTATCATGTGTAGAGTAGGGCCTATATACAAGCTGTAGGCTGCACTGTTACTCCATTCCTATAATTGTGCTTGCTGTTTTGGTTTCAACTTAGTTCCAAAGGGTGTTCTGACTTCTTGACTACATGTTTGAGTATTCCTTTCATTTTACCTACTTACTGCTCAACAAGTAGCCTTTCCAATTGCAGTCCATCTCTCAATATAATTGAGGGGAGGGGGTAGTGTTCATTTCATATTCATGCTAATCCAATTTCTCCATGAATCTTGAATTTCCCTTCCTTCACGTTGTTGGTCTGCCATGGATTCTAACCTATGGGAGGACAAGTTGTCGGAGGTGATGT